CCTGATCCAGTTTGAAAGAACTCAGAAAACATGGCTTCCTGAACAGCTAGGATGAAGATGGGACCCAAGAACATCTCAAGGGTACCACCACGCTAACACCTGTGAGGTACCCCAACACCCCCACCTCAGACATTTCTCTTGAATTTCTCAGTAGTATCCACTGGGACCCAAGGGTGCAGCTTCCGAGGGCTCCAGCAGCTCTGAGTATGGGTTGCTGGCATTGGATTGCCAAGATGTTTTATCTCGGTTCTGAGAAGTGGTGAAAACTACCTGGAGGTCACACACAATGCTAATTACTTTAATTATAGGGCATTTCCCTAAGGGGAAAACATACAAGTAACACATAATGAAAAGCCTAGATGCGACTGATCAGAAGGCTGAAGCCACATGGGAGACCCAAGTTGGATTCTTGGCCCAACCTACAAGCCAGCGTGACAGTGCATGCTTGTGGTCCCAGCAACTCAGGAGGCTGAGGTAGGAGGCACACGAGCTCACCGCCAACATGAGCAATGCAGCAAGACTCTGTCTGGAGAGGCGGGCGTGGCAGTGTAGGGCTGTGGTCCCAGCTACTTGAGAGGCTGAGGCAGGATTGTGACATAGTGAAAACCTGTCTAGAGATCTCTCTGCTCCCCAACACACACCTTAATGGGATAACCAACATAAAAATGAGTTTGTTTTCTATTTGAAATAGAAATTTGTATTTTACTTGTTTGTTGAATATGTTGGTGAGTTTTCTAATTTTTTAAAAAGTAGATGATTGGAAAAATGTATAATCTTCTAGAAGATCTTTTAAAGCTATATACAAAATGTTTATGATGATGTATAAAACTGTATACAAGACCAATAGTTAATATGCTTTCTAGATTGATGATCCTTCTTTTTTTAAATGATAATTTATTAAATTTTATTTATTCCTTCATTTATTTTTAATTTGACAGAGAGAGACACAGAGAGAGAGAAAGGGGAAGTGAGAAAGCAAGCCACCAGACCTGGGACTCGAACTGTGGTCAGCCATGTGGGAGTGTCCAGTGCTTTAACCACCATGCCACCTGCTGGTCTCCCAGTGATCCTTCTTTTTTAATGTCAGATGGCACATGGATGCATGAGCAAGAGAGAGAAAGAGCACCTTCGAGCAGGGCCTGGGCACACCACAATCCTTTGTTCCTACATTTCTCAGTCCCATCAGGATCCTGGGCTTGTGCTCATGTACCTGGCATGTTTTTCAAGTGGCCAGAACTGGGATTTAAACTACAGGTGGCAAAGTGGGATCTGGTTTCCTCTGGACAGTGCTTAACTATTGTGCTACAGACCTGGCCCTGATGAATCATACCTCTTCATCATTTGAGGAGTTTCCACTTCACTTTCCACTGGTTCAAAACGTTGTGTTCAACCTGCATTCTTGAAAATAGAGATCTTTAGAGATCTTTATTTGGATCTTTAGCTTGTGAAGACTGAAGATTTCTCAAAAGAGAAATGCTTCCTATGGCCTCAAGGTTTTCCTCCTGATTTCAAGTTTCTCCCCCACAATCTGTTCTCGCTCTCTCTTGGCAGAATGAAAGTGTCCTTTTACGCCTTCAAAGTTAACTCCTTGACTTGTGCTCTTGATCCGAAATCCTCAACCTTCTTGCAGCTTACATTACCCTCATCACTCGTCTTTCCTTCATGGAATCTCACCCCCTCATATTTACAAACTCAGTCTACTTTTCTCCCCAACTAGGAAACATCAGCCTCCCTTTACTCTGGTTCCTCTCAGAGCAGCTGTCCTTCCCCTTCTTAGCACCCACTGACCTGCTCCACCTCTGTCCAGCTCTGCCCTAGCCACTGGGGAAAGTCATACTCATCCAACCCACCGCACCCACAGGCTTACCTCAGTCTTTAAATGGTGCTCAGCCTCTCAGGACATCTAACAATGGCTTTTTCCATGAATCTTGCCTTTCTTTGGCTTCTGGGTCGCCCCACCATTTTCTGATGACTCTACCTCGTAGTTTTTTCCTCTTTCCCATTGAAGGTGGCCATGCTACTCCTGCTGGATCCCTCCCTTGGTGTTCTGTCCAGCTGTATGTCTAATTCTCAATGATAAGGCCTGCCATATCTCCTGCCTTATGGATTTCAAAACCCTAAAACCCAGTCTGGGCAAATCCAAGCCCCCTTCTTGCCTTATGCTAGCTCTTTTCTGGCTATTTGCCCACCTCAAAATGGACTCTCCATTCTTTGAAAACTGACTGTGATACCAGTGGGTTCTAGCACCATTTGACCCAACTCTGGTGATAGCTGATTGCGACAGCGATAGGCATTTGCTGGGTACTATCTCTTAGTTTTGAAGTGAGAGAGACAAAGGCTTAGACTAGTCATAAATGGAAATGGTTCAGGGGGACCAGCAGTTAGTGTAATGGCTATGTCGATGAACTCCCATGTAGCCGACCACGGTTTGAATCCCAGACCCGGTGGCTTAAACTCACGCTGGGTGCATGTGCATGCGTGCGTGCCCAAGATCCTGAGAGGAGAATGGAGGAAAAGGGATTGTGGCATGGCCATCCCCCCCTGGGGGGTGATTTATTGCGTTCTATCTCTCTGTCTCTCTCTGTCTTTCCGGTGAGTGTACACGCCCTATAGTAAAAACCTCTCCAAAAAAATGGAAGTAAAGAAAGAAATGGTCCAGGGAAAGGTCCTTGAGTGCCTGTTGCTGAGGGCCCTTAGAGCTGTCCCCAGTCTCTTAGAGCTTTCCCCATTCCCTTTTTCTGTTTAATTTGATTCTGCCGTAGATCCACGAGATATTCTAGGTAAGTTCTAGTACACTGCCCCTCTCGACTAAGCTTGCTAGAGTTGACTTGTACTATCGGGTCACTGGAAAAGTCATGACGTGTTTTTGCATAGAAAAAACTTAGAAAAATATGTCATGACTTCTGGTGACCCCATACTTCCAGAACTTCAGCTTAACAGACTCACTAGCACTTCTCATCCAGGAATCTCTAATTCGGGCTTAATCACTCCTTTACCCAGAGGAGTTGGAGCTAGAATCTTACTTACTTACTTTCTGTGAAGCTCACATTTAGAACACTAAAACCCCTCCATTTCATCTCCAAAATAATCTTCCTCCTCTCCAGGTATGCTATAGTTTCACTGGTTCTGCACTTTGAGATCTGTTTGTCCAGCTTCTCCATGTCCCAGTGTTAATGCTGATCTTGTCACTTCTCTGACTAAACGCCAAGTCTAACCCTTGTGACTTGTACCATACATTAAATTTCTTCGTACTCTGGCTCATGGGTGTATGAAGACCATCATCTGCTACATCCACTCCTATGTGCTAGCCAGGCCCAATGCCTTTCTCTGAATATTCTACAGGCTCCACCTCCTCTGTGAATTTTGTATTATTGATCCCTTTGCCTTTTGGCCCTGGTAAAATCTTGCTTCTTCTCTAAGGCCTGTCTCAGACCCTTCTCCATCCTGGGGGGATTGAGGGACCTTCCTCTCCACTGTCTGGGACAGGTGATCATGGAAGTGTTTTTAGTTCATCTTCTTTACTGGACAGGGAGGTCTGGGCTGGACTAGATTCCTGGTTCATCAACAGAGGTGGCGTGCACAGGGTCACACAACAGCCAATGGTTAGGAAAGACCCAGAGAGCAGAGCCAACGCCTAGGTACTTCCTGCCTCACTGCTTACACTGGTTTTAGTCAAAATAGGGAAAACGGAAAAAATAGGGGGGTGCAAGCAGATGGATTAAATAGACTGTAGGCATCGGTGTCTGAAAAACAAGACACATAATTGCTTTTAGACGGCAGAAAGAACATGATTTATACAGCTGGGTAGTGAATATTTCCATATATGTAAACCACTTTTACTGTGATTCCCATGAAATCTGTGAATAGTAGTTTGTAATAAGGAAACAGCCAGGAACCAGCAGTTGGTGTAATGGCTATGTCACTGGACTCCCATATAGTTGACTGTGGTTCGAGTCCTGGACCTGGTGGCTTAAACTCACGCTGGGGACGTGTGCGTGCGTGCCCAAGATACCGAGAAGAGAATGGAGGAGAAGGGATTGTGGTGTGGCCAACCCCCCTGGGGGGGTGATTCCTCACTTTCTGTCTCTCTGGCGAGTACACATGCCCTATAGCCAAAACCTCTCCCCCCAACCCCTGAAAAAAAGAGGAACAGCCAGATCAGATAACTTGAACCAGGCCTACAGCTAGTAAAGGATAGACCTTGGACAGGAAACGCTGCCTTCTAGCTCAGGATTCCGTGTCTTCCTCCATGCTGTACCCATCCCTTCTTCAATGGTAGCATTAAAGTACAATGAAACAGGCTATTAGGGAAACTTGGAATAAGCTAGGGTGAGGTTCTGCTTCTAAAGCACAGAGCTTTATTTCCCTACCCTTGTTGCCAAACATGCGTATCCTTTGCTAGCCTACTACAGAACCTGTAGTACAGAAAATGGTGCCCTAGCTCCAGGAACAGACACTAGCCCTCCTTGAACTAGATGGCAAACTAGGCTTGGCTTGGCTTGGCTTTGCTTTGCTTTGCTCTTTTCTTTTCTTTTCTTTTCTTTTCTTTTCTTTTCTTTTCTTTTCTTTTCTTTTCTGTCCTTCCTTCCTTCCTTCCTTCCTTCCTTCCTTCCTTCCTTCCTTTTCTTTTTTTAAATTTGTATAGGGTACATGTGCTCACCAGTAACAGAGGGGAGGAGAAATCATAAAGTATCCTCCATTGGTGATGGTCACGCTGCTCGTCCTTCTCCATTTATCTCTCTTTTCAGGATTTTGGGCACACATGCATACACACACTGTGTGTTTTTCAAGTCATCAGGTCTGAGATTTGAAGCACACAGTTGGCCGCGTGGGATTCAGCAGCCCTCACCATCATGCCACCGGCTGGCCCAAATGCAAACTGCTTGAATGTTTCACAGAGCTGTTTCCCCACCCACTCTCTACCCCCTCAGCTCACTGCGGGAAAGGATGTCCATGCATGTAGATTGGTTTGAGCATGAAGGGTTGTGCGTATACATATATGTGTACACATACAGGTTTATTTAAATGATCGAATTCCACACTCTCGGAGGCTGTGTGAAGCATCTTATCAAAAGAAAACACATTTTAAGCAAGAGGTTAAAAAAGCTTTTCAGACCCAAAGGCCATTTAATACAATGAATCCTACTTGGGTAGTTTAGCAAACATGTTTAAAACCCACATCCAACAGACTGGTTAGTATTAGACACACAGATTTGGTTTCAAAGCTGATAGGCCCCTGGTGGAACAGACCCTCTCATGAAATTCAGTTATATTATGCGGTAAAAAAAGGAGGACACGTATCTACTGACAACTTAAATATTAACTCAATAGGCTACTAGGTAATATAAATAGGGGAGAAAAGTCATGAACTAGGAGTGAGAAGACTATGATACCAGCCTACCTTGGACTGCAAAGGATGTTAAAATCTATCCTAGAATCTAAAACAGGAAAAAAAAAAAAGTTAAATATTCCACTCGATATAGACCCCATTTGGCCCAAACCATCCCCCAAAGAGTAGACCCCCCAACACATGAGGTTTACTAACCACCTGCTACAGATGTTTCTAGGTCACTAATTTAAAATGATCACAGAAAATGTGTCATACCAGAGTTTTTGTTATCATACACAAGCATTAGTGGCTGTAGTAATCTTCCTTCAAAAGCTACCATCAGAGGCAAACAACAAACGTCCATGCTGCTGGTCCAAGGAACCACACTAAGCGAGGCGAGGCATTCGTTTGGACACTGAGCTCTCTTGGGCACGCTCCCCGCTCTAGTTAGGGGCTGGGGTGTGGAGACAGTCCCCGCCGGGCGCTGCAGCCTCCTACTCCTGGGCCTCCTTGCGGGTCAACTTGTAGATCTCGGTGGGTCCGTCCACGTGGGTGATAGTGGTGGTGAGCTGGAGTTCCTCCCCACTGTGGACACCCAGATCGCCTGAAACAGGGTTGTCGGTGTTAGACCATTCAAGGAGGAAGAAGCAGCAAGCTGGGGTTCATCTCATGAAAACTGCCCTGTCTGTCCCCTCTTTCACATTCTGAGTTTGGAAAGAAAAACCAGGACACACAACACCCCAAACGAGGGCCAACATCCAACCTATTCACTTGAACTTTGCAGGTTTTCTCTCTTCCTTTTATTTAAAAAAAAAAAAAAAAATTGCCAGAGGGCTCATATACTCACTGGAGAGAAACAGAGAGACGGAGAGGGGACAAAGTAAAAGCAAGGAGGTACCCTGCCATGAAACATGGCCATGCCTCAATCCACTTTGCTCCATCTCTCCCTCCTTTCAGGATTTTGGACATTCATGCACATGCCCTTGAGCATGTTTCTCAAGCCTCCGGGTCCAGGAATCAAACCGCACAGTCAACCATGTGGGATCCAACCACCTTAACCACCAGCTCACAGGCTGACCTTGCAATATTTAATATCATTTTTGACGGTCAGGGAACAGTCATTAATGACATCTGAGTTAGTTCACTGTTGATAGTATTCCTAGGAATTATTAACATTTAATGAGAGCTTACTTGGAGCCTGGCTCTATTCTAAAGGCTTTACATGTGGTCTTATTTAGTCCTCGCAAGAGGGTCCTAAGGTGATCTGATCACACCATGATCAGATGAGGAAACTGGGAGGTCAGTAAGCTGGCAATTAGGGAAGAATGTGTGACTCCGAGTCCCATCACACAGCCAAGCGACCATAACAGGCAGGGCAGACAACGGTGGGCAGGGCAGACACATCCACGCCCGCTGCAAATAGTGTACGAGCCACCACGTCACGCAGAGGCCCGGGAGACCTGCCTGTACCTACCCGTGGACTGGGCACCGTGCTGTATCTAATACACGTAGAAACAAGCAGAGGCTTTCTTCTCCAGGAAAACAGTTCTAGAAATATGCTCCGAACTTTCATCTTCCCCTCTGGATTTGCTACATACCAGCATTTTGAATCATTGTCACTCAACAGAGCTATTCTGCTAAAATGAAATGAATGGCTTTTTCTCAAATAGCAGGGGGGGAAAAAAAAACATAATTTTCTATAAGTTAAACCCCTAAAGTCTGCCACGTGCCCCAAATCAGGTGATTATATAATGAGCAAAAGGAGGATGGAAATAAATAAATAAATAAATAAATACAAATAAATAAAAACCAGCCGGGCTCAGGTGGACTGTGAGGTGGGGGTCTGTATGGACATACACAATTGTGGAAACAGGTGCTGGGGAATAAAAAGTTAAATCCGTGTCTGTGAGTCTTTCCCTGTGCGCATGATTACTCTATTTTCTGGGACTAAAATTTTTCCTAGTTCGAAGCATGGTATTAAATAAATAAGTGCTGTTTCCTATTTGTTTTTTTGGAGAGGTTTTCACTGTAGGGCGTGTGCACTCACCAGAGAGACAGAGAGATAGAAAGCAAGAAATCACCCCCTGGGGGGATGTCAACGTCGCAATCCCTTCTCCTCCATTCTGCTCTCGGGATCTTGGGCACACACACATACGTGCCCGGTGTGAGTTTAAGCCACTGGGTCCGGGACTCAAACCGCAGTTGGCTACATGGGAGTTCTGCGACATAACCATTATGCTAACTCTGATCCCTCCTCTCTATTTTTTTTTAATGACCTATTTAATTTTATTATTTTTTAAAAATTTACTATAGGGCCCGTAAGCTCACGAGAGAGGCACTCAGAGAGAGAGAGAAAGTAAGAAAGGGACTCAAATGCGGGCCATGGGGAAGCCTAGCACTTAACTGCCTGCTGGCCCTATAAATGCTGTTTTCAATTGGAATTCCATACGTAACTTACAAGGTGCCTTGATCCTATCCTTAGGGTTTATACCTGATGGCGTGACGGTTAAGGTGACTGGGATCCCACATGGCCAACTATGTGGTCTGAGTCCTGGACACATTGGCTTGAAAAACTTGCCAAGAGCATGTATGTGAGAGCCCAAATTCCCCAGAGGAGAATGGAGGAGAAGAGATTGTGGTGTGGGCAACCCCACTATGGGGTGATTTCTCACTTCTTTTTTTCTTTCTGTCTCTCTCTTGAAGAGTGCATATGCTTTATTTAAAAAAAAAAAAAAATCATCGATAAATCCCATGGCCTTAGAATCCCAGACCTCACCCCGCATGCTAGCTGTAAGGTGGCAGGCCGATGCCGTTTACATGGATAGGGGTTCTTCACTGCAGACTCATTTCTCGGTGGCTACACAGCAAAATCAGTCCCATTATTAAACGTCAGCCCGTAGCTGGCTACCTAGGAGATTCCCTAATCTCAGGCACAGTGTCGTTAGCTATTACGGAAGACTGCTAATGGTATTTGGGGCTGTTTTGGCAGGGGCCTAACCCATAGGATTGTGGGCACAAGTTGTTCTAAATGCACATCAGCCAAAGCAAATGTATGCGCCCTTGAACCAGAGCTCAGGAGCAATGAGACTGGTGAGAGGCTGTAACTGTGGGCTACCTTGGGACAAGTTGAACCCCTGCCTGTACAAGGAGCATGGTTTCCTGGGTCACTAACGGGCATTCTTGCAGTGCAACTTCTAGTCCTGCCTCAGCCAAGCATGAACAGTTCAAGACTCACATTTCCTGGTCAAAGCTGGTTCTGGATTTGATATCTGGGTGAGCCATCAAAACTCCAAAGCCTGTTTCAAGATCTGCATGTCTGCATGAGTCATAAAAATTACAAAGAGATGGGGCCATCAGGTGTTGCGGTGAAGGCACTGGACTTCCACATGGCCCATCACGATTCAAGTCCTGGACCTGGAGGTTTGCTTTCTCACTTTCCCTCTTTCTCTCTGTCTTTCTCTGGTGGGTGTGCCCTGTAGCAGATGAAAAATAATAATGATGGGACCAGCGAATGGCATAATGGTTACAATGCTGGACTCCCACATAGTCAACTGTGTTTAAGTCTTAGACTTGGTGGCTTGAAACTCATGCTGGGGGCATGTATGTGCCTGCTCAAAATCCCAAGAGGAGAGTGGAGGAGAAGGGCCTGCAGCATGGCCATCATGCCTAGTGGGTGATGGTTTGCTTTCTCTCTCTGTGTCTCCCTCTGTCTCTCCAGCAAGCACACACACCCTATAGCAAAAGTCTCTCTTAAAAATAATAATGATGATAAGTAAAATTAAATAAATTCTTTTTAAAAATTATAAAGAGAGTCCTGACTACCCTAATTGACCCATTAGCACCTTTTCTTCATGTTTATCTAAGGGAACTTTCTTACTGAAAATGTCTTAGAAATGATACTAGAATATAAACCCAAAAATTTGCACTAAAGATGCCTTCTTTATGCTTAAAATATGCCTACAGGGGCTGGCAGGTGGTGTGGTGGTTAAGGACGCTAGGCTCCCACATGGCCAACAGTGGTGTGAATCCCATACCTGGTAGAATGCTTTCTCTTTCTCTCTCTCTCTCTCTCTTTCTCTCTTGCTCACTCATTCACTCTCACTCTGTCCTCCTCTGGTTAAATTAAAATAGATAGAGAAGTAAATAAATACATAAATAAATACATAAACTACAACTATAAAAAAAAGATTCAAAAAAAAAGATTTCAATTAACAGACCCTTGAAAAATTTATATAATCCTGTAGATCATGTGAAGAGTCAAAAATCACTTTGGCTTCTTTATTGAACCAGGTTCCTGGGTGATGGCACTTATCGGGTACCCAATGCAGCTCTAACCCTGTACAAGCATGAATGCATTTCATCTTCGCACCAGCCCTCTGCCAGCCCTCTGGCAGAGGCCCCATTCTGCTGATGAAGAAACTGAGGCACAGAGTGGCTAAGTAACTTGCCTAGGGCCTACGCTGGTAAACAGTGATGTCAGATTCTAAATGGAGTATGGGACATCAGGACCCAGGCTCTCAACCTGCAGACTCTGTTGTCTCTTCTTAGACATTCAAGTTTCCAGCAGGCAGTGAGACTGCTAGTGAAGCAGGAGGTCACACACAATGTGCCACAGTCTCAAATATATACATACAGTAATCTGGGTGAATTGGTTAGTTTCTTAACTTTGCTTTCGTATCTGATGAACTGACAGCACACAAAGCAGTGCCCTGACAGTTAGGAGAGTGGTTACTTACGTGTGTCTGTCATGTGCACTTGAAGGGCTCTAGCATGCCCTGTGTTTCCTTTTAAGATGAAGACACTGAGGCATAATTAATTTCCTAATGTGCTGGGTGAGGCCCCAGAGCCATGGGACTCTGTGTGGCAAAATCTCTGATTCTCATGTGATTTTATTTTATTTTGAAGGCCAACTCTTCCCTCAACGCAATAGTTGTGGGAATACGGCAGTCACACAGCAAGCGTGGAGATGTCTCCAAGTGTTTCCAAACCCCACCAACTCCTACTTCTGCCAAGGTCTTGTTCCATCTGTTAGTCTCCGTCTCTCTTGGCTTCTTTTGCTCAGTGCACAAACATGCTCAAAATCTCTTTTTAGCTAAGACCAAAAAAAAAAAAAAAAAAAAAAGAAGAAGAAGAAAAGAGAAAAACTTTCCAGAAATGTGATACACTTCTTATTTCGTGAAGAAAAAGAAACAGAAAGAAGGAAAAAGGAAGGAATTCAGTTTGCAGTCAATTGTTCTGCCTGATTATGATATCAATGCATCTCAGCTAATGAACAATAAGATGAAGGCATGTTTCTTCCTAACCTTTGTGAAATGTGACCAATCTCTGGCACTAATTTAATCTCAAAAGACAATCACAACGGATCCTCAGTTGCAGTGTCACCTCCACAGTAATGTGGCTATTGCTCAGTTCTTACTGCCTGGAGTATCCACTGAGGACCGAGAAAGCCGTATACACTGGATACAGCATCTTAGGCCTGGGAGCATTTTAGTGGCAATCATCAGTGTATCTGTGGCCATTTCAGTAAAGAGAAAGAACGCTTGCTCATTCTGAGGTTATTTCCCAGATTCTGGGAGAGGTCAGAGGTCTTCTATTACAACCACC